GCCACTACAACCAGTCTGAGATGCTGGCCAAGATCACGGGCTACGTCAACGTCACCTCAGGCAACATCACGGCGGTCAAAGCTGCCATCTACAAGCACGGCCCCGTGGCTGTCAGCATCGACGCCTCGCACAGGACCTTCTCCTTCTACTCCAACGGCATCTACTACGAGCCCAAGTGTGGTGAGTCGGGTGGCACACGGGGCACGGGAGGACCTGGGTGCCCAGGGAAATGCCAGGACACCCAGGATCCCCACCTTGTTGTGGAGCGTCTTGGGCAGGGGAGGAAGAGGAAACCGGTCCTGCAGCCCCCCACCAGTGCTGCCGGCAGCCCCGGGAGCCGGGATGCTCTCCGGACAGGAATGCTCTCCAGACGAGCCATCTGCCATGTCATCCCCCGCAGCGAACGAGCCGGGAGCGCTGGACCACGCAGTGCTGGCCGTGGGCTACGGCGTCCTGCAGGGAGAGACCTACTGGCTCATCAAGAACTCCTGGTCCACGTACTGGGGCAACGACGGCTACATCCTCATGGCCATGAAGGACAACAACTGCGGCGTGGCCACCGAAGCCACCTACCCCATCCTGGCCTGAGCCACCTCTCAACTCCACAGGGAGAGCCCTTGGTGATGCTCTCAACACCCATCCCTGGATCAGCCCCATTGGTGTGACATGTTGGGGACATGGTGGGACAGGGCCGTGGGGTGCTGGACAAGGGGCTGGATGGGGACCCAGCTCTGCTCTTGCCAATAAAGACCTCGGAAAAATACCGGTTTGCTTCTACAGGAGGGGTTCAACTGCTTCCCACCCAGCTCTGCCCTCTTTGCAGTGTGTGACACATCCGTCCCCCGCACGGGTCCCTGTCCCAGGCTCGTTTTCGGGGCCCCCTCGAGGAGCGGACGGTGCCTGCCCGGCGGAGCCAGCTGGCTCTCGCGGGCGGTCCCAGGCACCCAGGGCGAGGGGAGCGGCTTTTCCAGCCCTCTCTCTTGAGGTGGAGCACAAACAACGCCAGGGATTTCTGCTGAGATGAGAAATTCCTGGTGTGGGGTGTTGGGGAGGGAGGGAGGAAGGCTTCACCCTCTGCCCCACTGCCCCGCTCCCTGTTGTGGCTATGGGTGGCACCGGCAGTGTTTGCCAGTGCCGTGAGCCGGGCTCCCCTTCGCCCCACGGGGCTGCTCCCCTCCAGGGAAAGGCGCTTTACACCATGGCCGTGGCCCCACCTGGGTGCT